ATAAGTAATTATCGATAAGGGTCAAAATCGAATCGATAAATCGAATGCACACCCGTAGACTGTAGACACTTGTTAAATGAGTAATTACCTATTTGTGTAGATTAATATAACATACAAAATGTATATATATTCCGCTACTATTTTGAAAGAGGCTATACAATATTATTTTCCCTAATCTATACCCTTTCCTTTACCTTAAATCCCTTACCCTATTATTTCCTCTACCACATTTAAGGAATGATCATATTTAAAGATCAAGGGAATGAAGTTCAAATTAATGGAAAACAGAATTAGCCGTGATGATGTGTTTGTTTTGTTTTTTTTTTATACTGTTGGAGTGTTGGTGGCATACATTTGATCCCTTACTTTAGTTTTGTTGCATGTGCTTGTTGACACAATTTTTATATTATAAATGGTGTTCGTCTTATTTTAGCTTCTTTTTGTCCATATTAGTTAGGCGCGTTTATAGCGATATACTTTCCGTGGAATTCCGCAAATTTTCTTATTGGTGTAATCGATAACCGAATCGATAAACCCCCAAAATAGATAAATCGAAATCGAAAAAATTGAAACTTTATTGAAACGATAACGATAATCATATGTACAAATCGATAATCGATAAGTAATTATTGATAAGGGTCAAAATCGAATCGATAAATCGAATGCACACCCCTACCCTGTTTTATCAAAACATCTCTCCAACCCGTCGTATAAAATAGTTCTGGGATATTTTTTTGGGAAATTACCAACTATGTCCATTTATAAGTAGCTCATTCCAAAAATTGGCCAATTGATAAAATATTACTAATATTAGCCAAATTAGCCAATTAGCTATTTGTAGCAAAAAATATCAAATTTTTGCTTTGTTTTGAGTGGGTGTTATTAGAATAGATTGGTCACAACTTAAAGAGCTTGAATCTCAGTTTTGGGATGCTTTGGTGAAGTTTTGAGGTGGTTTGAATTGAAAATTCGAAGTAAAAGCTGAACATGAAAAAAAAATGATATATGTATCATTTGTGTATCACATATGTATCAATTGTGTATCACATGTATATCCATGTATACCTCTGTGTGTGATACATGCGTGATACATGTTTGATACATGTGTCGCAGAAGACTTTTTTGAACTCGATTTAATTACGAATTTTGATACAAAACCAGTCCAAATCACCTCCAATCTTCCTCAAATTTTGTATATTGACTTATCTATATATTTTCAATGAATTTCAACTATACCCATGAAAAAGTTCCTTTTTTGTTTAGATTTTTTGAATATTGTATAGATTTTTGTATTTCATCACCTTATTTGCTACCCCGTCCATGAAATTTCCTTTCCGTCTTGTATCTAATGTTGCTAATCACGCTTAAAAATATGGAAGGTGATTTTTGCATGTGATTCTTTGAGAGAAAGAACCCTATTATTTGGTTTTTCAATTTTTGTTGGCTAGTTTTGGTAAGTCTATGACTAATGGCTAGAGGTTGGTAAGTTGAGATTTATTTGGGACATTTGTGTAAGTTTCCCTTTTTTTTTTTACAAGTTTCAACTTCAAGAATTCGTCTTCTTGTTGTTATTTTTTAATCTTTTTATTTTTTTCAATTTAAGAATTCATTGTTATTCGGCTAGGGGCATTAATTTGCTTCATAACATAGCATGTCTAAAACCCAAAAACAAGATACATTTTCATGAACTTTTATATCCTTCCAAAATTTAACCCCATTAATAGATCCGCCGATTTAGCTTCCTTTAAAGTAAGGGAAAAGGGTCAAATCTATCCCTCTATTTTTATAAATAGTTCATATTTAACGTTCGTTATACTTTGTGAACAAAAACATCCCTACCGTTAGTAAAGTTATTAGAAATACCCCTATTTCTAAATGATGTTCTACGTGGCAAGGACCCATCTTTTAAAATGACACGGTGTATTACATGTGTGTATTTATTTTTCATATTTATTAGAATAATAAACCAATCCATTGGAACTCCAATTTTGAAGCCGAAGAACTTGGGAGTTCAAATTCTGAAATCTGATAATTGAAGCTTGTTGGTCACCCATTGTTAAAATCATTTGAAAAATCATTCCTTGTGCTTCAATTTAAATTTACTTACTGCTTTTGGGGATGTATTTGAAAGAAAACTAAAATCACCATTAAATAGCGAAAACTTCACACACAGAAACATAAGGCTAAACAAATCACACAAGTAAAATAATTATTTAAGATGAGATCTAAGAAGTGAATCCAGAAGGCATCAAATTCTATAATGGTGTCTTCGACGATTTTATCTCTTATAGTAATTACGAGGTGTGTCATTCTAATACAGATTTAAAAACTGATACTCCTCTTAGGGTAATTAACTACATTTAATGAAAATTATTGCATAAATTTATAGTACTACATTTTGTTTCTTGTGCGTATAAAGTTTTGCTAGTAAAAGTTTTTGTCTCATTTCGTTTTTGGGGAAATAGGTTTATATAATTGGAGTTTTTCTTACATTTTTCCAAAATAAATTGTGAAAATAATCTTGTTTAGTGAGTAATTTTAATGTATACATCAGACCCAAAAGTTAAGGTTCAAAATCGTATCGAGATGATGGGTCTAAAAAAAATCTCTGGAAATGCTCCTTTGCTCCAACCTGTTCACATGAAAGGAGAAGATAAGGAATTTGGGGAAGGGTAAACTAAGGTTATGGTAGTGAGGTGGATCACCATGTAGCATCCACCTCACCCAAAATGTCATGTCACATATAATTTTAAAAGTTAAATTTTTGCCACGTTACACATCTGTTAAAAATAGGGGTATTTTTAACAAGTTTGATAACGGCAAGGGTATTTTTGTACGCATAGTATAACGAAAGTTATATATGAACTATTTTTGAAAGTAGAAGGACAAATCCGACCCTTTTCCCTTACGGAAAAATTGAAAGTCCACTCCTTCTAACCATCATGCTAAAACTGATCTCTCAGGAGTTGATGTCTTCATATCTACAGTTGATCCTGATAAAGAGCCTCCTCTTGTCGCTATTAATACCATACTTTTAATTCTCGTAGTTGACTATCCACAAAACCTAATGGGGAGGGGAGAGGAAAACAGGGTATTCGATAGAAAAGGAAAGGGGAAGAAGACAATGGGAAGAGGGGAGAGGGGAGGTGGGGGTGTGGGTGGAAGGGGTTCACGGCAAGAATGGAGAAGGGAAAAGGAGTAACAGACAGGAGGCACGTTGGGAAATTTTCTTATTGTTTTTTCTTTTCTTTTCATTGTAATTTTTTCTTCTGATTTTAATATTTTTTAATCAATATTAATAGATGCACGCTTTTTAAGTGTGTGTAACCATGCATTTATCCGACTCACCAAAACAAATGCTGCATAACATCCGTCAACGGTCGAGGGGTCTAAAATAGGAGTATCGCTTTTGAACAAGTTTAGATGTTTAGAGTAAGCTCCCTAAAGTAAATGGACCGTGATATCAAATTGGTGCTAAGTAGAAATGTCTATAGGCTAGTAAGTCTTACTCAAATGATTCCGTTCTAGTTTATGTGAACCTATTTTCTTTTTGATCCGTTCCAAAAAGAATGATCCCTTTTTAAATTTAGATACAATTTAGCTTAAACTTACAATTCTATCCTTAATGAAAAGCTTTTATAACCACACAAATACTCTGGATCCCTTTTTGACTTGTTTAGAACCACAAATTCAAAAATCTTAATATTTTTTAAACTCCATGCCTAGTCAAACAGGTACACATAAATTGGAACGGAAGGAGTACATCACTGTAATGGTCTACGTAAAATTTTCATCACACCAGAAATACTTTTCGAATTGGACTTCATAAGTTAGAGTGCACAAAAGCGAGTTGAACTGTTGCTGCAGAACTTGAAGTTAAAATAATAATATAATTTTTATGGTAAAAAAGGATAAGACTTCATCTGTCCACTATTTGGAACTGTGGCCGATTTGACCTCTTCAAAGTCAAAAGATTGTAATAAAGAATCAGTTTCTGGCAATTCACGGTTCTTTCGCCAATGGTTTGCCAGTCGAATTTAAAATTTAGAAAACGTTGAAATTTTTTATTAGGAAAGAAATCAAGCAATTCTGGTATATTGTTGACATGTTTTGAAGACTTATTCCTCGAAAAGCAAGATAATTGAAATTTGTCCTGCGTTAAATACATATTTCCCAAGTTTCATTCTTACTAGTATACATACCCGCGCGATGCGCAAATTGTTTCAAAGGAAAAAAACAGAAACTCGATAGAAACAAATATATATGAATGATGTGTGACATATGCAGATTTTACGTTCTTATTTTTTTGGATTAGTCACTAACATTTTCTATGGTATATGTAACTGCTATTGCTTCATTGCTAACCCTTTCTTCAAATAAATACGGTATTTTATACTCTAGGGGCCAATATCACAATAAGAGAACGCATCACAAACTTCACGAATCTTGTGAACGTACTCCAAAATAGAAGGAACCTCTGAAAAGCGATATTGTTTGTTACCTTGCTTCGAAAGGGATTTCTGAAAGCAAATAATATCCCCATCTTATAGCTGCAAAACCGTAATAGTGCAAAAAAAATATTACTAAAAGATCTAGCATTAGAAATTAAAAAAAATAACCATTGAAGGAAATCGACTACACAAGCAAATGCATAAGAACCCACAAAGTGGCTATTGACAATTCATTTCACATACCTAACAGCCACGAAAACTCAGCTTCCTGTCAATATATTCACATATCACATTTGGTTCAAATCTTATTTCGTGCGAATAACATAATCGGGAAAATGACACATCATTTGTTTTGAGTAAAACACCTGGCATACAATAGTGTTTCTTTTGCTTTTGGCTTTTGGCTACTCTGACAAGCTTGAATCAAACTACTAAAAAGTAAATCATCTTTTTATGAATATCTCTTTCAGATTCTTAACAGCAATAATTAGCTGCATGCACCTTAAATAATTGTGGCACAAGTAGAAAAGAATATAAAAAGAGAACACAAGTAAAAATGATGATAGATAAGAAATACTTTTAGATTTTCTTGTTATATGATTATCACATCAAAGAAAAGGTGCTGATGAAAACTATAAATGTTAGGAATTTCTCAATCTAGCTACATCGCCTATGTATTTCCACTTGAGAAGCTTGGTTACTCCTACATGTTGGGATCAATCTTGCTGATGAAATCTGCACTAAGAGAATTCAACTCATCAATTTGTTCAAGACAATATCTTCATCTACACTGAAATACTGTGTATAAAAAAAAAGGGCAGCCCTGGATAAAAGAAATTTCGTTGACATTAAATAATCTTTTTCAGGTGTTTGTAAATTGCTTTCTGTTGGCCTCTGCATAAGGTAGGTGGTTACAATTTACCACTAAACAAAAGGCCAGTAGAACAGTAATCGAAAAGAGAAAAGCCATTAGGAGCACTCCTTTCTTGTACCCGAAAAACTGATTCATAAAGGAGGTGGATCTACACCAGGTAAGGAGTTTACTACCAGTTCCCATATAGATACTTTAACTCACATTGTTTTGGGCAGTACCATTCTTACTAAAAAGACTTGAGAGTCATATAACTAAAGAAAAGCATATAGCCGCAATTGATGTGGAGCAATAGAACATTCCACAAGAAATACAGTAGTGGAAAGGGCTCAAGAAATGGTGTCGACAAACCACCCTCATCAGAACAATAACTTAAGGGTTGAGAAAGAATGCGAAACTGCAAATCTGAATGTTGCGCATAAATTTATTCACTATTAACTCTTTCTGATGACTATATGTTATTATGCCGTCTTTGTCACTATTCAATAGTTAGTAATATATGCCATATTTAGGATCAAAGTAGCTTCAGTGGATACTAAAAGAATCAATATTATCCCCTTAAAGGGTTAAAAGTTTTCTGAATTGGATAAAACAATTAAGAAGACATGTCTTCCAAAGAAACAATTCTCCTCTTTAAATGTAAATCTGAGAAAATAATGTGTCTATTTTTGTTATAATAACAAAGTGTACTTTAAAGAGAATATGATTATAACCATATAAAGGGATCAATAATAAAGAAGAGAAGGAAAAAACAAAACTTGAAAAAAGAAACATAGCAGTATTATTTTACACTTACAAGTATCCAATTCTTTACTCCAAATCACTTGCTTCATCAAACACTTTGACATTGTTGTGAACAACTAATCTTCAAATATCATGACCACTACCACTCTTCCTATTCTATACCTCGTAAGATTACCATATACTTTAATATCACATAAACTTTACAGTTTAGGGTCATATGAAGTAAGAGCCAATTCTATCTCAAAATGGAAAAGTAATATAATACAATTCTACATATTGACTACCAGAAAATATAAATGAACATGCTCATGTCATATGTTCCTGGACCAAAATTTTCTCAGTGCAAATCATAATGCATTGCTCTCGAAGAAAACACAAACGACATATTTATGATTTGTACTAATAAAAAGATATGTTGGTAGAATGGTTAGAATTATATAAAAAGTTCCGGAAATATTACAACTGCACAACTGATACATAATGGATCGATGTTTTGATTACTTTATGCAAATCAAATAATCAAATACTACGAGGAAAATGGATATTTGAGACTAAAGGAGCTCAAAGGCAATTACTTCAGACAAGTTAGTACTTTAAGGACTTTGTTGTAACGACAAATACTGATGCGTGTTTATACACACATAACTTTAGCAACATTATAGTGAATTCATTGCTAAAAATCTTAAAAATTAAACTCAACAACAACAACAACAAACTCAACTTAATCCCATACGTGGGGTATGGGGAGGGTAATGTGTATGCAGCCATACCCGTATCCTATAAAGGTAGAGAGGATATTTCCGATGGACCTAAGACTGAATAATTCATGGATGGGACTGGACGACAAATTTAATTTTTATATTTATATCTTAAAAATATTCAATGGTTGATATTTACTTTATTTTTTTTCAAAATTATCTAAATGAATTTATTGGTTGATCTTTAAAATATAATCAACCTTACATTTCTTCAGTTGCTGGCTGATCAAATGATGTTCGTTGTTGAAGTATGGAGTCAACGTACAAATTAAAAGAGTATGGATAAAATATTTACCAGGGCATAATAATATTAGGCTTCAACTGATCTTTGTAAATAATAGTCCTGCATTAAGCATATAAAATTTCAAATATTAGCCAGAACACTACAAGAAAGAGTGATGTATTCTGCTTTTTCAGGAGCAAACCTTGAATAAAGTACTGTATCAAGGCAAGTATATTTCAATATAAAGGTGTTTACCCTGGAATCCGGATAACAATTGAATTTATATGGGGTTTTAAGGATCCGTGAACTAAAAAATACAAAAGGTTTGGATTGAGGAAAATAAAAGATAAAGACTCAACAATTGCTGCTAAAGTAAATAATCGCAGAATATAATATTGCTTAGAACAATTGTGCTTGATAGCGTACAAGAATTGAGAGAGATGGTACCGTAGTGTAATGGTTTCCGATCCCCTCTTTATGGGGTCTTCTCCCCTTTTATACATTTTGATTAAGGGTAAAAATAAGGTAGGTAAATTAATTACATCGTGGATCCCTGTAATTACGCCTTAATGGCCTGAAGTGGTTGAGAAAATCACGTTTGGGCGAGATATCCGGCGACGCTTGGTTGTCCGTTACGAGTCCGGCTTCCGACCTTGTGTGTTTCTCCATCCGGTGGTGACTCATATCGAGCTCTGCAACGGTCTCGAAATGACTCGACCTCGGTTGTTGACGTGGCCGTCGTTCTACCTTGCATCCAGGTCGGGTTCGATGGTCCCGACTTGCCCCGGACCGGACCCAACCCGGTCGGGCTCAAGCAAAAAAGGGTATCACCCAATACAGATAGTCCCCTCGTTTATTAGAGAGTAATGATAATAAACGATATGATCGGTGACGTGATGCCCGTGACGTATGGCCATACGCCAGGTGAAAAAGCCATCGAGTGCTCTGACCACGCCTGCTGCAGGCATTTAATGCTTCTCTTAATTATCTGTCGCTTCGTGTCTGTGACTTCGCGATTCGTGCCGCCGCCTCATGGGAAAAGTATAAACGACCCTTCCAGGTTCAACATTTCTTATCTTTCTCAAATTTTGCGTTGGTTGTATTTTCTTTTCATCTCTTCGTAAAGCTTCAAGAAATGGCGAAAACTTCACAAAGTGTTCCTTCTAGACCAAGCTCGTCTGCGAGCCCCGCTAGATCTGATGAACCTGCGCCAGAACCCCCATTGAAAGCTTTTACACCGACTGGTTGCTCGGTATCTGCCGACTTCCAGGTTGAGAACCCATCAT